TCAAAGGGCAGACTGACCCCCAAGGCTTAGGGGACCTTGGAAAGGCCCAAAACCGAGAGGGAAAGTCACAGAGGTCTGAAAGGCCCTGCTCATGCACTGAACTCACACACAAAGTAATCACCCTGAAAATATTTATAACCTTTCTCAACTGTTTTGTTTGTTTCTCTTTTTCTCTGGTTTATTTCTTAAAATTACCATAGATTATAATAAAGTTAGTTGTGTTTTTGAAACTCTCAATCTATGACTGCAAAAAAGAAAAATAGCCAGGCATGGTGGCGCACTCCTATAATCCCAGCACTCAGGAGGCTGAGGCAGGAGGATTGTTGCGAGTTTGAGACCAGCCTGGGCTACAAAGTGAGCGCAAGGCCAGCCTGAACTGCATAGCAAGACCTTGTCTCAAAAGGACAAAAAAAAAGAAAAAGAAAAAGAAAAATAATACAGTAACAACAGCTAACACTGGGCGATGATCTAAATTCTTTATACATGTCCATTTATTTGATAATTAATATATATTACTTCACAGATCAAGGCAGTTAATTTTGTCACAGGAGTGGTTAATACTAACAGCTAGTTAAAATTACCCCACATCCAGACTGAGAAAATTGATACGACACAGAAAGCAAGTGTCAAAGTTAAAGAACCTGGTGTGATAGTGCACAGCTGTAATCCCAGCACTCAGAAGGCTGAGGCAGGAGAATCACAAATTTGAGCTCACAGTGGCATAAACACCTGCCTGGCAAGTGCAAGGTCCTGAGTTCGATTCCCAGTACCAAAGAAAAGTAAATCAGCATCTTCCTTCCACCCTTTGTAGTGTATCACATACAAGTTCATCTTCCTAATCAAACTTGGATTCACAGTGCTACAATGTGAGCAAACTTACACTGCAAATAAAGAAGAAAATTACCTTTAAAAAAAAAACAAGTTCTAACTCAACATGGACAAATTAGCAATTTAAGGAAACCACATCTCAAAATTAAAATTAAAAAAGGGCTACGGAAATGGTTCATGCAAAGGCCCCTTTGTCACCTTTCAGGGTTTTGGTTTGGGTTTGGATTTTTTTTTTTTTTTTTTTTTTTTTTTTTTTTTTTTTTTTTTTTTTTTTTTTTTTTTGGTTTTCTGAGATAGGTTCTCACTAGATATTCTAGACTGGACTTGAGAGTTGGGCATGGGCACATGCCTGTAATCCCAGCACTCGGGAGGCTGAGGCAGGAGGATCATTGCAAGTTCGAGACCAGCCTGGGCTACAAAGTGAGCTCAAGGCTAGCCTGAACTGCATAGCGAGACCCTGTCTCAAAAAGACAAAAAAACAAACAAACAGACTGGACTTGAACTCACTATGTAGCCCAGGCTGGCCTCGAACACACAGCGATCCTCCTGCCTCATCCTCCTGGTTGCTGAGATTACAGGTGTGTGCCACCATACCTAGCCATTTAAATTCTTATACAAAGATAAAATATGCTTTTACAAGCTCTAACCAAGAATGTCTCAGTTAGACTGTAAGTCATCATTACCCTTGACAATGTACACTATGAGAAACATCCATTTCATCAACTGAAACATCAATTTCAGTGCTAACACAGAAATACAGTAGAAGAAAAAAAAAAAAAAAAAGAAAGAAATTCAGTGAAACAAAACAAACAATTGTCCCTACAATACAGAGGATGTCTTACTTCTAACTTTACCAAACAGCACCAGTATTACCTTGATAGAAATTCTCCTCATCTTCTTCACGTTGGTAAGTTTTTTCTTGGATAGGATTCTTCCTATAATTCCTCCCATCAATTGTTATAATCTGTGGGCGCAGAACTTCCATTTCACTTCCTCCTAGTAATAGCAAGTGAAGTCCCAAAAAATAAGTTAGTCTCTTGCCTATGTTTCATCTGAAATGAAAACCCTATATATGAGACCATTTTGTGAGCCTGAAAGGACATAACTGGACATGAATTGATATATCCCAAGCGAAAGGAGGACTGTTTTTTCAACAGATTTCCTTGGGAAGTCAACTGCTGCATTTCCCACCACACTACTGCATCCTGGCTCTTAAGACAGCAAAGTTTAAACTGACCCCAAAGAAAGCGATGATGAGAACTCTACATACAACCCACCCACAACAGAGTGAAAATGGAGGTGTCTTTACTAATGTTCACCTAAGCGTTTGCAGTATGGTCATTACAACGACGAGGGATACTTAGTGCACTTATCTATGAGGTGGGAAGGAGAAACCTAAGTACTTTTACAGAGGCTAGAAATACATACCTAACAACCAGATCCAGTCGCTTTTCCAAACAGACGAAATACGACTTTAACGTGGTTTTCAGATCAACACACTGTGGAGGGAAGGAGTCCAATTTCTACAGGCCACTGCCTAACACTCTGCAAATCCCTTCCTGAGAAGACCAGCTTCATCACTGTTTAGTAAATCAATAATTTAGGCGGCAGCTCAGTGGTAAAGCCTGGGAAAGGTCCATGGTTTCTACCCCAAACACCACAAAATACTGTAAAATAATACCTTAGGAAAGAAAGATTCCTTATGGACTAGCTACGGTTCTAGCATTGTTCTTATCACACAAGGTGTGATCCAAAGTACCATGAAGGTGTACATAAAAAATTTATTACAGAAAGCTAGGTGTAGTGGTCCATGCCTGTAATCCCACCGCTCAGGAGGCTGAGGCAGGAGGATCACTTCGAGCTTGAGGCCAAGCTGGACTACATAGTGAGTTCGAGGCCAGCCTGAAATACAGTGAGACCCTGTCTCAGAAAAAAAAAGAAAAGAAATTTATTACAGTAGAAGACACAAGGCCCTTAGTCCCCCTCAAAAAACTCATCCTGGTTTCAAAGGCTTATCCCATACTGTTATGGTTGATACATTGTGTCAACTTGGAGAGTCTAGAGGTTTGGCTAAGTGACTCAGCATCCTGGGGTGCAAAGGACATGCCCTTCCTTCTTCCTGCTCTAGGATGTTCTTCATTGTGTCAATGTGAGAAGTTTATAAGGTTAACTATGTGAGTGCTGCCCCCTGGGTGGGGGTAGCCTGTTTACCATATAAGAGAGGCAAAGAGGCTGCTTTCTGCCATTCCCCTCTTTGCTCTTGTTGCTTTGCTATCTTCTGCCTCGGAGCCAGCCAAGTATAGACTGAAACCTCCACAAACCGTAAGGTAAATAAACCTTTCCTTCCTTAATTTTGGGCATTGGGTATTTTGTCTCAGCAATGAGAGAAAAGTAACCAACACACATACTGTAGTGGTTTTTGTTGTTTGTTTTGTTTTTTGAGACGAGGTCTCACTATCTAGTCCAGGCTAATCTTGAACTATAGCCCAGAATGGCATAGAACTTGCAGCAATCTTCCTATCTCAACCTCTGAAATGCTGGTATTACAGGCCTGGGCCACGAGGCCCAGCTCCATAATTCTTGCCACTTTTTGAAGCAGTTCTGGAAGTCTTTTGTCGTTGTTTTTTTATTTTAGGGGTTTTTTTGGGGGCGGGGGGGTGTTTGTTTGAACCGGTCTCACTGTGTAGTTCAGGCTGGCTTTGAACTCACTATGTAGCCCAGGCTGCCCTCGAACTCCCAGCGATCCTCCTAGCTCAGCCTCCTGAGTGCCGAAATTACAGGCCTGTGCCACTACATTGGGCTAGGAATGTTTTTATTTCACAGAATTTGGTGTAAATGTTTTTTTAATCTTTTCAGGATAACAAGATAGCCACAAAAAGACAAAAAGAGGACGTCCTGAACTGCTTTAGTTAAGTGTGCTCCAAGCAAGGGGGAATATTTTGAGAGGAATTAATGGGATATGTCTTGCACTGTAATAAACTTTTTTGCTTTTAATTTAAATATTCGCCATATTTATCACACCACGAGGACTTGGATAGTCTTGAAGCCCCAAACACTAAAGGGTTCCAAAGAAAATACATCAACCCCTACTAAATACACTAGCGCTCAGTCCAACCCTCAGCCAGGCTCTTTAATTGGTAGTTTTCCTGCTTACAGAACCAGGGAGGTTTCCTGTTTTGAGAAACAACAAAGTAAATCTACTTGAAGAGGACATAATTAGCAAGTCTAATGACATTACACGCTACTCCTCCATTCCCCAAGCTCTTCTCTCCCTCCCAAAAAAGTTCCCCACAAAACTAGCCATGAATGCTAAGGCCGAGTTTTCTGACCGTAAGTTCTAGAGGGAAAGACTGTTTTAAATCATCTACCGTTCCTGCTCAGCGCTGGACCGAGACTGCTCAGAAGAGAATTGTCAATCTAACACTACTTCAAGGAGCTCTGAAGAGAAAAACAGTATTCTCCTGCATGTCGCGCGGGACGCTTAAACTCGAAACCATAAAGAGAAACAAGGACACGTGTACACCAAAGGGAGAGAAGACAAAACGACCGCAGCTCTAGGAAAACCCTCGTTAGACACACCAAGGAAGAAACCCGGATGTGTACTCCGGAAGCTTGTCCTCCTACCACGCCTCCCCGCCCCGGCCACGCCCACCACCGTAGGGCGCGCGCAGCGGAGGGAGACCTTTCTTGCGCGGGCGCGCGCACGCCGCCGTCCTCGTCGTTGTGAGCGCGACCGCGCCGGCTGGCCTGGGGGCGGGGCTGTGGGGGACAGTACTAAAACCGCTGAGGTAAGTGGCTTGAGGTTTGAAGGACTTTTAGGAGTTTGGTGAAAATGGAGTTATCCCTGGGATCCTACCTGGAGAGTGTTGAAAAATGGAGAAGGTAGGAGGAGACACAGGAGGCTGCTTCAGCGGGCGTGTAACGAAATTTCCTCAGGCCGCGCTCGACGGAGTGCGCATGCGGATCGAAAGGCTGCGCCTGCGCAGTGGGGCGGTCGTCTGGCGTCGCTTCCCTGAGTCTGAGCTGGAGGGGAAACGTAGCTTGGTGTCAGCTTGGCAGCGGTCGGTGTTGACCCTTCCCTTGTCCCTTCTCTGTTCGCTCTGCCCAGGTAGAGCTGCAGGATCTATTTGATTTGGATTGTAATCCAGTTGATTAAGTGAAACACAGTGAAGCGATTTATTAAAGGTGGAATTTAACAATTGGTTGCCGTAATTTGCCTTTGTACTGGGATAAGAACTTCCTTCATCGTGTATTTTTAATGAGAATTTTTTCAGGGAAGGGTGTTTTTTTTTGAGACAAAGACTCGCTATGCAGTTCAGGCTGGCTTTGAACTCGCGGTGATCCACCTGCCGCAGGCTCCCGAGTTGCTGGGATTACAGGCGAGGACAAACACCCAGCTTCAGGGAAAAATCATTTTCTTAAGTAAATACACCTATATAGCCGGGGCTGCGTAGCCTGAGTACCTCCTGTGGGCCTGGGAGTCTTGTGGGAAATAGATTTGTATAAATAGATTTACACAATGAGAAAGAAAAAACAATGAGCCAACCTTGGTGGCACCGTTTCTCCAACCCCCGTGTAAGCTATGTGAGAGGCTAACCTTTGTTTGCTTATTTACGAATCACTCCCTAGGTCTTGAGGTTAGGAAAAATTCCTTCCCCCTTCCTAAAATGACAGGATTCTTCCAAAAATGAACCTTGGAGGTGATGCTTAGTGACAGGGTGTAAAGGGCATAAAAGGACATAATAGAGGCAGATTCTGAGCAGCCCCTTTCTCCTTTAGGAGTTTACTCTGCCTACATCGGATGGAGAGAACTAAAGCTTTTTTCATGAACAAGTGTGTTGGGACATAGTAAGTGTGAAATCCAGGCACAGTGGAACATTCCAGTAATCCCAGATACTCAGGAGGCTGAGGCAGGAGGATGGCAAGTTTGAGGTCAGCCTGGGCAACTTAGACGCTGTCTCAAAATGAAAAATAAAGAGCTGGGAATGTAGTTCAGCGTGAGGCTCCGGGTTTAATCCCTCAGTGCCAAAAAGGAAGAAAGCAAGCCTGGGATCTACATTAGGGAAAAAAAGAATTTAAAAGTGTTTGCTAAGCTTGAAACTTTTCTAGTTGCTTTACATGTACTATTTTAATCTTCATAACACCTCTGTAAAGTAGGCATTATTATTGACCCCAGGTAACAGGGAATAGAAAATTTAAGTGATTTGTTCAGTCACAGTAAAGTAGCAAAACCAGGACACAAACCCAAGCAGAGAGGCTTCAGTCATTTCTTAACCATTACGCTGATTTTCCTCAATTCCAGCACTCCAGAGGCTGAGGCTACAAATTCAATGCCACCCTGAACTACATAGTGAGACCCTGTCTCTAAACAAAACAAGCAGTCACAGCAGATAAGCTAAAATTATCTGTATGCCTCACGGTTTTTTGGAGGTTTTTTGGTTTTGTTTCGTTTTTTGAAACAGTCTTGCTATATAGTTCAGGTTGGCCTTGAACTCACTTTGTAGCCCAGGCTGGCCTCCACCTCACAGTGATTCTCCCACTTCAGCTTCCCAAATGCTGGGATTACAGACACGTTCTACCATGCCTGGCTCATTGCCTCAGTTTTGTCATCTATACAGTGAGGAAATTGGATGACCTTTAAGGAATCTGTGGTAATAATTAATGCATTCTGAAAACATTTACTGTAAGTAAATAAATAAATACTTAGCCTAAATCTTTAGAGCTAGAAATTGCTTTGGTGTATCTTTCCACCACGGCAGGCACTGTGTATTTAAAGTTAGCCTTGTACTAATTCTGGCTTCCATTTTTCAGCCGTGACTATTTTGTATGTGGAGTGATACTGTGTCGTTCTGAGAGTTTGAAAAAGGATAGGATGAAAGGCATTTGCTTTGATTATATTCTATTAGTAGACCCACTGTGGCTGGCTTTTGAAGCTCTCCCCATGCTAGGAGTTGCTGGGGTGCTCTGCTGAGCAGCTGATTTCCAAATATAAATGTATGCAGCTGGATAGAGCATTGATCAGGGTAGAGGGAGAAGGTGAGAGTTTTAAATCTTAGGTGAGGTACAGTATGTAAACAGTTCACAATAGGTTCTACTCTAAACTGGTAGAAAATAAAGACTAAACTACTCTCCAGAAGGTGGCCAAGTGCCTTTTATGTATTGTTTGAGTATCACCAGAAATCCATGTAAGATTTGGTCCATCACTGCTTAAATTATTTTGTTTTGTTTTGTTTTGTTTTTTGTTTTTCTTCCGGTACCAGGAATCAAACTCATGACCCCCGCTTGCCAGGCAGGAGCTTTGCCGCTGAGCTAAATCCCCAGCCCCTTAAATTATTTTTAAAGAGCATTTACAAATACTGAGCTAGGCTGGGCATGGTGGCGCATGCCTGTAATCCCAGCACTTGGGAGGCTGAGGCAGGAGGATCACTGTGAGTTCGAGATCAGCCTGGGCTACAAAGTGAGCTCAAGGCCAACCTGAACTGCACAGCAAGACCCTGTCTCAAAAAAGACCAAAAAA